CTAAGGACAGCGCTTCATATGACATAATTCTATCTGTACAAGCTGGTACACCAGAGAAATGCTCACATTTTAAGGTTTGTTTTGGAATGAATGTGTTGTTACAAGCCTTTGCGATAATGCTACTGTTCATTATCCAAAGCCTCAAAAAATATATTTGACTTACATGTCTGCTCCAGATCACCAGTCTTGTTTCAAGGTTTCTGAGATAATCTAGACAAGTTTCTTTTATATATATTCTAAAAGAATAAATATAAATCATATATATGCATACACACACACGGAAACAGGGAGAGGGGGAGAAACACACACACATATACATATATATATATATATATATACACATATATACATATATATGTACATATGTACACATAAATTCATTTATACATATATATGTATATATACATACACACAGAGAAACAGGGCGAGAGAAAATCCCAAGCAGGCAGTGTGGAGCCCAATTCAGGGCTCGAACTCATGAGCCATGAGAGCATGACCTGAGCCAAAATCAAGAGTCTTAACGGACTATGCCAACCAGGCTCCCCATATATAGGTTTGTTTTTACTAAGGCATCAGTGTGACAACAAAGGCAAGAGTGATGTTGCTTTCTTTTCAAATGTCTTTAGGATGGTACTATTATTTCTTAGAATAGTGATGGGTATGATTTCCTCTCTAGAAGTTTGTATCATTCCTATTGATACCAATAAGACATGGTAAATAGCTTTGAGAAAATAGAGATTGCTGACATATTCATTTGTTACACATAACAGCCTCATTTGGAATATAAAGTAAATAGGTAAAGATTTACTGACTGGAAACTTTACCAAATGCATTCAAGAATTTTTTTAGGTCTGAATTAAGTAGAAAATAAATGATGTTTTTTTAGTTTCGATACATCATTGTATTTAGACTTTTTTTTATTATTCCTTGCTACCACACCAAGAATGTTAAGACAGAGCTGTGAACTTAAACAAATTTGTTAAGTTTATTCACTTCGAGAGAGACAGAGAGAGCAAGTGGTGGAGGGGCAGAGAGGGAGGGAGAGAGAGAATCCCAAGCAGGCTCCACATCATTAGTGCACAGCCCCACGTGGGGCTCGAACCCATAAAACATGAGACCATGACCTGAGCTGAAACCAAGAGCCAGACTTAACGAACTAAACCACCCAGGCACCCCAACGCTGTGACCTTCAAAACAAACAGAAATACATGCACAAGGTGTAAACAGAACATACATACAACTGTGGTTTTTTTTTTTTTAATTTTTTTTTAACGTTTATTTATTTTTGAGACAGAGAGAGACAGAGCATGAACGGGGGAGGGTCAGAAAGAGGAAGACACAGAATCTGAAACAGGCTCCAGGCTCTGAGCTGTCAGCACAGAGCCCAACGCGGGGCTCGAACTCACGGACCGCGAGATCATGACCTGAGCCAAAGTCGGCTGCTTAACCAACTGAGCCACCCAGGCGCCCTACAACTGTGTTTATCTCAACGTGGGTTACAAATGGAGAGAAGGAGGAATATTCTAGGAAGGAGCACATTTGTGAGTGGATTTAGATTGAAGAATGGTAAGATGGGACTTGACAGGTAAAAACGTACCTGGCTATGGAGAATGTAGAAAGCAAAATGGAGTCTCTCAGGTCAAGCAGAGGCCTGTGTCCAGCAATGACACAAGCAGTTAAAGGTACTGCACTAGGAGATATCGCTGGGACCAGCATCAGCTGACACCCCAGAGCTGGTAACAGGCAGAACCAGAGGAGGTCTGCAGGGACCCAAGACAGATGAAATCCCTTTCAAAGGGGGAGGACTTGCAGCAAACTGCCAGACTCCTCAGACCTGACTCCTCTGTGTCTGACCACTTAACAAAGACAAGTGTGCTGAAATCTCTGCTTGACTCATTTCCGAATGCAAACGAGAGCCTTCACTGCTTGAACAAAATAAGTAGTAAGCGCAGAGAGCTGACCCCGCCCAGACAGAAGCCTTATCTCAACTGTGCACCCACAGACTGACTTGGTGTTTGGTTCGTTAACTTCCTGCACCCTTCTTTCATCTTGTTTGCTGGGCGGTTGGTCTTCTGTCCTGCTCTGCGTGCCAGGTAAGAAGCCAAGTTTAATCACATGGTGAAATGTCATTGAGTTGGGAATCCTGAACGTGCTTTATAATTGTGAGTAACTTTGCTTTATGAGTGAATAAAGCTGACACTGTGGAAAGACACATCTCGTGTGTGCACCTTCATAGCGTGTTCATGACAGACAGTTTAAGTAGCGGTCCCGGATATCTCTGCAAGAGAGAGACTTGGACTCCACAAGGGATAGTGATGATGGAAAAAAGCAGGCAATTAAAGAAATACGTAGCATGCAGAATGAGTAAAACTTGAGAGTAATGTGAGAAGGGAATTGGACAAGAGAAAACAGAAAGGTAAAGCCTAAAGTGTTCTGAGGAGAAATAGATTCGGTGATTTTAAATTTAATTAAACTCATTAAATCATGAGTTTAATTTTAAAAGTGTTGAGTTTTATTTGTATATGTCCCAAGAGGCAGTTAAGATACACATCTAGAGATCAGAAGACTGATCTTACCTAGAAAAGAATGAAGTCATAAAAGTACTTAAGATTCCTAACAGAGTATATGTAGAGTGGTAAAAGAGGATGTAGATACGTATTTTTAGTAATACTAATATTGACAAGCTGTTCAGAAGAATTGGAAGAGAAGGAACAAGATAGGAGGAACAAGATAGGGAAAATATTGTACTCCATAGGCCAAAGAATAGAAGCTTTCCAGGAAAAATTGGTAAACGACCATTGATTCATTCACTGATGCACAAATACTCATGAAGTTCTTACTTTGCATCAAGCACAGGTATGGAAAAGCCCTATATGGGCTCTACCTTTAGGGAACTTACAGAAAGATGGGAAAACAAATGTAAATGAAATAATTACACAAATATTTCATTGTATATTGCAATATGTCATAAAGAGTAAGTGTATTATAAGGAGCTATAAAAATACAAAGTAGGTGTACTTCTATGGTCTGGGAACCCCTATCTGAAGAGGTAAACTCTTGATTTGAGATTTAAGGAATAATGTAGAAGCTAGTAAGGCACGAAGCAGGAGGGGGGCAGCTCTGACAATGAAACAGCAAATGTTATGGATGTACTATGTGAGGGATTTGGCCATGTACCCGGAGCCCTACAAGTTAACCTGAAGCTTTATTTTAGCATGAGAACAATCTCAGCTTCCAGGAGTTTTTTTTTTTTAAATTAATTATTACTTTCAAGCCATCAACCATGCAGGGAAGGTGGTCCTAGATAGGACAGGGATGTTGGAGTTTGGTACATTTCCATTTTAGACTGAGAGGTAATTATGGGAAATATGAACTTATTTATTAATTTATTAATTATCCCATTACCTGTAATATGTGTGAGATACTATGGGGAGGAGTGAGTGTTATATTTTTAAAAATCATCTTTATCACTATAATCTGACGGATAATTTATATAGTTACCCATTTTAAGTGCATAATTCAAAAATTTGCTATTTTGCCAAGTTGTTGCATTATCTTTAATCAAATTTTTATACATTAATCGCTACAATTTTCCTCCCAGTATGGCAAAGGACTCTTATCAGCCTGAACAGTGAAATGTTGCCCTTGTGAAGCCTTTTACTAGGGCCAATGTTAGATGCTTGATTCAGCTACCCCGGCAACACATAGCAATTCTATGCCCTCAACTGAAAACTGAAAAGTAGGGGTGCCTGGATGGCTCAGTCAGTTGAGCATTGGACTCTTGGTTTCTGTGTGGTCACAACAGAATTTATTGATTAAGCTTGCTGTGTTATACGGTGACAATTTGTGGCACCCCAAATGATTACAACAGTAACATCACAGGTCACTGATCACAGGTCATCGCAACAAAAATAGTAATGAAAATGTTTGAAATATTGCTAGAATTACCAAAATGTGACAGAGACATGAAGTGGCAGACGCTGTTGGAAAAATGGCCGCGAAAGACTTGCTTGAGAGGGGGGTCAAACCTTGACAGGCCTTCAATTTATAGACAAAGGGTACTACAAAGCACTGTAAAGCAAAGTGCAGGGAGACAAGATGTGCCTGCATATAAATGTACATCAATATTTTTTTTTCCAACGTTTATTTATTTTTGGGACAGAGAGAGACAGAGCATGAGCGGGGGAGGGGCAGAGAGAGAGGGAGACACAGAATCGGAAACAGGCTCCAGGCTCCGAGCCATCAGCCCAGAGCCCGACGCGGGGCTCGAACTCACGGACCGCGACATCGTGACCTGGCTGAAGTCGGACGCTTAACCGACTGCGCCACCCAGGCGCCCCTAGTATTTTTAATGTAATAAAATATTCAGATTCTAATTGGGTAGGGTACATAATCACAGCATGGGTCATCTTTATCTTTGGCATTCTGCATGCGGTGCTTTTCGTGCCTAACTTTCTTATGCAAGTCCAGTCACCTGGTATGTTCTCCAGTGTAAGCCTTTTAATATGTTGAAGTAGAAACAGTCACCCCTGGTTCTGATATTATAATGGCATGTCACATGTGGCCATTTTTCTTTTTCAAAAAAGAAAACACAGCAATATCCACTGAAAAGAATGTTTTCAATCACATATATGTGCAAGGTTTAGTTCCAATCTGATGAATTTAGAAAAGATGAATGTCTCTCAAATAATCACTTTGCTTATAGGTCTCATTTATTCTTTGTTTCCGGAAGGGTGTCAAAGTTAGAGGGCCCTGACTGTCCCGGGAATTAAATTAGGGCCTTTTTTATTTCCTTTTTCTTTCATGTGACTGTACTTATTTCTTAACTAGTGTGACAAATGTGGCTTAAAATAAAAATTGTGCTATTACTAATGAAACACGTGTTGGGCAGCAACAGGGCTGGTAACAACAAAATGTCACAGTGCACTTATTTTCTTGTTGATTTCGTGGAGCGGCGATTAGGGAAAAAGTTGTAATAAACACAATAATGGGATGCTTAATGTGATAGCCGGGTGGAATTTTACTTTGATTTATTGAAAAGAAACACATTAATAAGCAGCCATTTAATTACTATTCATGAAACCTAGTGGTTAAACATCAAATTATTTTTCTCCTACATTTCTCTGTAAGCTAATCAAGATTTTAGACACAATGTTTTAGAAACAATATGGAAAACCACACTGTACAAAACTAATGATAACTTAGATTTAAACAACAGGTTCAAAATGTCAAAAAAAAAAAAAAAAGAAATTAGAGCACGAGAAAAGACTAAGTATCTGTATATCACGAAACAAATTTGGACCTATTTCGATAGATTTGTTATTCACAGATTTGGCTCAAATAGTGCACATTATGATTATCAGAAGATGATCAGATCCTACTGACCTGGGAAGCACAACAGAGTTATATTTCTTAGTAGGATTTTATTATCTGTCTCATTAAAGCTGTTGGCCGTCTAAATTTATTATTTGTGCAACATTTGGGTAGAAAAACACATGATGTTAGTGTGCCCCCATGTGGCTGGAGACTAGTAGGTAAGATTGTCAGGAAAGGCCTAAAAAGAAAGAAGGCCCCAGCTGGTTAGATTATCAATTAATTGAATACTTACTGCAACAAGATGGAGGGTCGCCTCTCCTATTTTTAAAGTTATTCTAAGTGAGAGGATTCACGGTTGCTCCTATAGTTCTTACAAATATCTTATTTTTAGTAGTTGACTCATGTGAACCAGCTCATCCACTGCTGATTCTGAAGTGATGTCACAGAGGAAAAACCTATGTCCACACACAAAATTTATTTTTCCTCACACATTGTTTGACTAAGTCAAGCCTGAATGATTCTGTGCAAATATTTGAAAATATATTTCGTGATTAAATAAGATAATGGATCAAGTAAAAAACAAAAACAAAAACAAAAAAAACCCGTGTTAGGACAGGCCCACAGCCTGAAGAATTAGTTTGCCAATTTGTAGGATACACTTGAAGACTGGTGTTGTTTTATAAATTCTGTTAATCAATAGGATATGGGATATCTATAATGTATGTGGTAGATTTCCTAGAATTTGAAACCCTTTTCTATAGAGCTTCTTTTTAGAGTCACCAACTTTAATATTTGATTCAAGGGTATTACCAATTAATACTCTTCTTGAATTAACTCTGTAGTCACTAGTCCCAAGGTGCAAAGACTTATCTGTTCACCAGTTCATGCTTCTGGAAAAACTCTGCAAGGATTAATTATGGTGACCCCATTAGATGGAAGCCTGCCCCAGATCTCTGAGGTACTGTAGTGTGTCCACAGTTGGGCACATTTTAGAAGTGAGAGTTGGGAGTGTTACAAATCTAAGGCATGAGGATTTGAGAACATTCTGAGTGAGGAAGAGAGACCTCAAATAACAGAAAAGGAGAATATCAGTATAATAACATTTGAACTTTGACAAAGGCTAAGACTGCCTCTTTGAGACACTAGCAAAGCAACAACACTAACTGTGCAGTTGGAATATTGAATTCTAACCAACTTTAACATTGCTGGTCTCAGTACAAGTTTCTTCTGGGTAAAGCCAGAAGATTTTTCCAGATTTCCCAGATTTTCCATTTGTTACTCTAATTAGTTCAAAATACTGTGCTTCTACGCCAACCTTTTTAATTAAAAACTTAAAAAGTAAAATCACAAATAGACTCAATTTTAAGGAGGGTGATCATTTAAGAAATAATGCAAACATCTATTTTCTCTACTAAAAATTTCTCTTTTTAATGAAAATGCATTGTTTAGGATAACAACAATTTGTGATTGTGAAGAAATTTTTAAAATTTCAAGCATAGGGTAGGAAGGAATTTAAGGGTTCCCCCCCTTCCATAATCCAAACTGACCTCTAATTTTAGTTTGGTCATTTAACATATTTTTAAAATTTCTCACAGAATGGTATTTTACAACATTTCTGCTTGTCATTTTTTTTTTTTTGCACAGATTGAAATGAGTTATGTATTTGTAAAAGATAAAATGAACCATTTCTGACCCCATGCTTTACACCAAAAAGAGAAATCCTAAGGGTAAGACAGAGTCAAAATCCGAATAATAATAGTAACATTTCACAAAACATCTTGTTCATTTACTGGAAATTGTCTTCACACTGGTAGAGAAAAGCAGGCTAAAGGAGAATGGGAGAAAATAAAAAGATAAAGCAATAGATGAAATGATAGCATTTGCAATCTTAATGTAAAATCTGTTAACATTGAATATCTCCTAGCACATTATTGTTTTTAGTCATATAGACATTGGTTCAGCCAGAAAAATTTATTAAATTCTCACGCTAAATGTTTGCTCTTTTTTTTGTCCTTGCTATCTTAGGCTCCTTAAAAATTTATATTCTGCACAGAAATTTCCAATTAATTTTTCTTACTATGAAATTTTTGTAGGAATGTATTTGTTGAAAACTCCTTTATGGTTTTGAAAATAAAGCCACAGACACTCCAGTCCAGGCTACTTATGGAATAGTGATAATTCTTAAGTGTTTAGAATGGAAATGTTACAGAACCGTGAAGAAGTGCCATTGAGACAAAACTACCTGAATTCATCAGATTGGCAAATGGGTTAATTTACCTTTTCCTCATCTAGCTTGTAAAAACCTAATTAGCTCTCTTTTCAGGGTAGTTAGAAATCTCATGCATTGACCTACTATTCTGACCTATGTATCATCTTTTTCCCATGGTAGAAGGCAAACAGTATTAAGACCTGCTTGAAAAGTATATGTTATAAATGTTACACACTTCAAGAAAGGAAGAAGTCATCTTTTTTTGCAAATCATATGATTTGGTTTGTAAGGCACCAGATTAGGTTTTAAAAAAACAGGCTTGACCATTAGCATACTGTATAGCATTTAGAATGGCCCGCACAGTACTAAAAAGCTCAATGTTTCTCTTCCACAAAATCTCCTAATTACTCACTCTTACTTCCTACTTCTTATTCATAAAAGCAAAACATACTAGTGTTAAGAAACTGAATTATTTTCCTCTCTGTGGCTTAAAATTGTTGTTCCTAAACCATCAATTGTAATAATGCTCCATGCCACTCTGGAGCAAAATGTGAGAATAAGTACTCCGTTAAGGACTCTTGTTCAGCCTGAACAGCCTTATGCTATATGTTTGACCATACACGGTCCCATTTTTAACTAGGCTGATACAAAATGATATTGTGTTAAAATCTTCAATTCTAAGGTAAAATTCAGCATTAATCACTTTTTTCAAAGGGAAACATGACAGATAAAATGGCGTGCATTTCTTTTGCATATGAAATTTCCTGTCCACAATTACATGTAGAGTGAACATTTCATTTGCAGCTTACTGAATAGGAGTAATGGGCCAATAATAGTCTTTATAGTACGGGCACAATTACATATCAGTGAAAACAAATGCCTCTCAAATTCCAGCCAATGAAAATAATATGGGATACTCTGCATTTTTTCATTGTTCTATGATTAAAAATAGACCACAATACAGAAATTTACTACCAAGAAAATTCAGTGTCAGTGATATGTACTGATAGAGCTTTACCAAAATGTATATTTTCAGACCTAAGGACATCAGACATCAAAGACACCCCCATCCTCACTGTGCCAAAGAAATTGAAACATCCAGAGAGAGCTGACAATATATTAAAATTTTTATATGAAAAAATTTTGTTTTATAATACTAGTTATATTTCTAGATAAGTTAATAGTATTAAAACTAAACACATCACACAGCACCTTTCCTTTTATATCTTGAAAAGTGTACAAGAACAAGAGTGGAAGAAAAAAGGGCTGATTAGAAAAGCCCACAGTCTTTTAGATTCTCTTTGATAATTATATCTGTAACCGCATCAAACACGAACTTGACATTTTGGGTATCTGTAGCACAGGTCATGTGGGAATAAATTTCCTTATCTTCTTTTTTTAAATTCAGGTCTAGAAACTGGTTTTTGATGTAGTTCCCTGCATCTTCAAATGTATTTGGTCCTTGTTACAAAAAGAAATAAAGAAACGTTAATTGCATTTAAAAATGAATGAAGTTAAAATAATATCAGTAGGTGTTAGCATTTTACTTTGTAAGCTACTATTTGATATACTCACTGTTGAAAAATCAAGATGGCAATGGTCACTTATCAGGGATTTATGCAATGTTACATTGCTGGGAATGATGCTTACCCAGCTGGGTAGGGACTGCATTTGGCTGAAATGCTCACAATACAGTAAGAATACAAACATATATACATAAATAAGCTAGTGATGAAGCTTATATACATGACAAAGGCTGTGCATGTCTATGTGCATGTGGGTGTGTGTATGTGCTTTAATATGAACTAAAAGAATAGAAATTGGAGATGAGTAGACTACAGAATGAGGGTGGTATTTGAGCTGGATCTTGAGGGGTAGCTAGAAGAGAGAAGGAAATAGCATGAGTGAAGGTCAAAAGCGGGAGAATGGCCTGTGTCACTAGACTTGAAGGTAGGGTTGCACTGCAAAGTGCAAGTGTGCACTTTGCAGAATCTAGTTGGAATTGTAGCAAATCAAGTAGAAAGGATGGCATGGGTCAGACTAGAGACTATGTTGCTAACTAAACAAAGGGCTTGAAATGACATATGTAAAACTAGAGACAGCTGTTCTTTTTTTGAAGCTTATTTATTTGAGAGAGAGAGAATATACAAGCGGCAGGGGCAGAGAGTGAGGGAAATAAAATCCGAAGCAGGCTCCAGGCTTTGAGCTGTCAGCACAGAGACTGACGCAGGTCTGTAACACGCAAACCGTGAGATAATGACTTGAGCCAAAGCTGGATCCTTGCTTCACTGACTGAGCCACCCAGGCACCCAAGACAGCTATTCTTGACTGATGCTTTAGTAGAACCAAATGGAGAGTCAATGAAAAGTGGGCTTGGGAATTTTAGACTGGAAGCAGAAGACACAATGGATCAATAAAAATACAAATGTTAATAAACACAAGGTAGCCAAAAGTGATCTGTTGGTGGGCTTTATAACAGAATATACTTGGTGGGGACCTAACACACGATAGGGCAGTAGCATAAAGATTTTCCAAGGAGATGAGATTTTGTTCCCCTAGATTATTGTATCTAGGAGGAAAATGCCATGGGGGACAATCGTTATAACCATGTAACGTGGCTAAAATCCAAAACACTAATAACACCAAATGCTGGCAAAGATGTTGAGCCACAGGAACTCTAATTCATTGCTGGTAGGGATGAGAAATGGTACAGCCACTTGGGAAGGCAGTTGGGCAGTTTCTTATAAAGCTAAACATGGTATTAGCATACAGTCCAGCAAATTTGCTTCTAGGTATTTACACAAAAAATTATGTGTGCACAGAATCATGAAGATAGATGTTTATAGCAGCTTTATTCAGAATTGCCAAAAATTGGAAGTAATTCGGGTGTCCTTCTATAGGCGAAAGGTTAAAGAAACTAATTTCTTTATGGAATGGAATACTATTCAACAATAAAAGGAAATGGACTAGCAACCCATGAAAAGTGTTGGAGGGAATTTAAATGTATATTGCGTTTAAAAATGAAAGCGAAAATAGTCTGTCAGAAAATGCCATATATTGTATGATTGCAGCTATATGTGTTCCGGAAAGGGCACAGCTATAGATAAAAAGATCAGAGGTTGCCACGAGAGAGAAGGAAGGGGAAAAACATAAATTTATAGTGGAACACAGATGATTTTTATGGCAGTGAAATGATTGTGTATGTTACTGTCATGGTGGATACATGACATGAATTTGGGAGAGCGTACAGAACTGAGTAACACAGAGAGCCCCCACTGAAAACTATAGACTTTAGTTATCGTGTATCAATATCTATCAGTCAGTTGTAACAAATACACCACATCAAGGCAAAATGTTAATAATAAGGGAAACCAGAATGTGACCACAGAGGGAGTATATGGAAACTCTGTATTTTCTGTTCATTTTTCCTTTAAACTAAAGACTGTTCTAAGAAATAGTCGATTAGTTAGAAGAAAACATAAAGAGCTTTACTTAGTCTATATTTAGTTTGTAGTATTCAACATGGAATCGTGACTATATTTAATCACATGATAAATGTGTTAACACAGAAATGATAATATTCACAAAGCTAGAGGAAAGATATAAGCAACTGTTTTAGATTAGCATAGTTACTGCGACCGTATACCATGATTAGTAACATTTGGGTTACCCAAGTATCTCAGTGGTGGAATTGGGCTTCTATTTGTGTTTAAATCATGAAAATTTCCATCTTACATAATATCATTAACAACAGAACATTTAACTATATACGGAAAAAAAAGTTGTCTCTGAGGGAAAAACAACCCACCTATAGACCTGACATTTATAGTCACTGATTAACAGAATCAGCACTACAATTCTAGGATCTAGGAAAACTGGAAAGAGAAAATGTCACTATTCTCAAAATCATTCCAACTGTCCTTCGGGAAACTTAATTCTGACTTTGAGAAACCACTGCATTATAAGGTTTCATTGGGGAATAAGTAAAAAATGTCAGTTTGGAATATATTGTTAATAATGTTTAAGATAATATAATTTGCAGTGTTGTTTAATACATAGAGTAGCAACCCTGGTCTACCTAACCTCCTGTTTATTGACTAGAGCTTTGCTTTAATGTAGAAGGTTTTCCTTTTATCTGCAAACAGTTTGGATTCTTCCAGTCTGGATCATACACGTGACTCAAGCAATTATCATAAGCCTCAACTTCATAAATGCTACCTGTGAAGATGCAGATAGGAAAATATAGGTCTATGTAACAATTTAGTGGGGCACCTGGGTGGCTCAGTCGGTTAAGCAACTGACTTCGACTCAGGTCATGATCTCACGGTTTGTGAGTGCTAGCCCCATGTCAGGTTCTGTGCTGACAGCTCAGAGCCAGGAGCCTGCTTCAGATTCGGTGTCTCCCTTTCTCTCTGCCCTTCCCCGCTTGCACTCTCTTTCTCACTGTCAAAAAGTGAATAAACATTAAAAAACATTTTAAAAAGAATTTAGTATGGCACTAAAGAAAGAAGATCTTACCAGTGTATTCTGGAAAGCAGATACTAAGATGCACTTTGGTTACTTTTTCTTGAAAGAGATCCTTTTTATTGAGAAACAGGACAATGGAGGTGGTTGCAAAGTACTTGTGATTACAGATACTGTTGAATAGGTGAAGGCTTTCATGCATTCTGTTCTGTTAGGTATCAAAGATGATAATGTGTAGGATTATTATTTGCAAAATATTAACACCGGGTATTATAAGCAAAGCTCTAGAAATAACATCTATGTTTGGAAGGAATTCACTGAGTTGGGGAGTGTGGTAGTAATGTCAGAAAGCACAAATGCTTAGGTGTTTGTTTGTTTGTTTGTTTTACCCTGGCCTTGCTTTCCTTTTATTTTTTTATTTTTATTTTATTTTATTTTATTTTATTTATTTGCTTTCCTTTTAGACTTACCACTTCCTCATCTTCCACTAGGACCATGTCATAGGCACTGAGCGCAGCACAAAATATAATGCATGTAACGCCTTCAAAGCAATGAATCCATTTCTTTCTCTCAGATCTCTGTCCTCCTACGTCGAACATTCTTTAAAAAAAAAAAAGAATAGCAAACCTTAGAGATACCTATCAAAAGTTACATTAATATTTAACATTTCTAGTTATAAATGAATGCTCTCCTATCTTTAAAAGATTTTATTTTTATTGATTATAAGATATTTTAATTGGTCAATTTGCAGCTCAAGGACTATAGAAAAAGAGAAAGTTCATCTTTTTTTCTTTCATTTTTTTGTATTCATGAAAACTAGATAAAAGATACAATAACTCACATACTGGCTTTGGGGGACTGAGGAATTTTAAGCAGCTTATGGTTTTAGTAGGAAATCTATTAGAGTCGAGAAACTTCTATCAAAGGCGATGCATAGTGTGGAAGTGTTGAAGCACTATATTGTACACCTGAAACTAACAGAATGCTGCATGGTAACTGTACCAGAACAATAATTAAAAAAAAAAGTCTCTGCATAATCTTAAATGAACAGAACCTACAAAAAGATTGGAAGCCACCATAGTTCTGATACTACAATCCCTGTTTCTTAGCTCTTGCTACATTCATTCATTTGTTCATTCAAACAATTACTGTTTGCATTTTATGTGCTACACACTGTGCGAGGACTACAAACACAGAGATGAATAGATACAGTCACTATCTTCAAAGAGCTCTCTGTCATGCAGAGAGAAAACCAATATGCTATTATAGTATTATATAATAAATACTCTAAAATGCAAGGTAAAATGTGAGCCCAGAGGAAAACTTAAGTCAGCCAGAGTCATCATGGAACCTACTCACAGGAAGTGTTTTAGAATTTGGCCCTCCCCCTGTGTTAGTATTTCGGCAAAAGACATCATTGTGGACATAGCAACTTGGTAAAGAAACTAGGAGTTTCTATTCTTAAGACCTCCCTTTCCCTTACCCTCCATATAATACACATACAAAATTCAGTTCCCAACTCATCCTCTTCTTTCCAAGTCCCCTTGTCTTGTGCAAGCCACCAACATTTCTTTTTTTTTTTCTTTTAAGTTTATTTATTTATTTTGAGAGAGAGACAGAGAGAGAGCAAGTACACAGGGGAGGGCCACAGAAAGAATCCCAAGCAGGCTCCATGCTTTCAGTGCAGAGCTTGATGCGGGGCTCAATCCTACCACCATGAGATTATGACATGAGCCAAAATCAAGAGTCAGATGCTTAATTGTCTGAGCCACCCAGGTGCCCCAAGCCACCAAGCTCCCCAACCTCCCCAACTTGCCCAAGTTCCCCAAATTCCCCAAGCTCGCCGTGCTCACCATAGCCACTGCAAAACTCTGTGATTTGCCACAGGCTTCTAGCCATGGAACCAAACACAGACTGGTTTGATGACCCTTAAGGCTCTGGCTATTTTGGTTCCTGCTTACTTTTTCCAGCTTACTTCATACCACTTTCCTCTTTAATCCAGTCCAATCACAAGGCTATTCTTTAAGTGACTTTAGTATAAACCTACTTTTTGCTGCTTCAGGACTACTGCACAGTAAGTCACTTTTCTTCCTCACATAACTCTGCCTTTTTCGCAACTTGACGGTCTTACAGTGTCTCCTTCACAAGGAAGCCTCCTTGGTCATCTGTGTAAATGGTCTCTCTTCCTATCCCCATTTAATTTCTATCGCATCACTTTCTTTCCTTCATAGTGATTGTCACAACCAGTAATTAACTAGTTTGTTTATTTTTTATGGGTTTAATATCTACCATCTTCCTAATAGAATACCAAGCTCAGGGCAGGGACTTAACTATATTAGTGACAACTATATTCCCAGTACCAGGCACTATGTCTGACCTACAGTAGACATGCAATAAATATTTGCTGACCAAATGAATATATTGCATGTTAATGGGATGGAGGGTGGATTTTGACATCAAGTGCAGGTGCAAAAGCCATTAAGGAATGAGAGGACATGGCATGTTTAGGGTAAGCTCGTAATTTATATTTTGGGGAACATGGAAACTTAGATAAAACCATTGAGATATATGGCCTGCTCATTATTCATTTATTCAATAAATATTTATTGATCATGCCAGGCATTAGAGATTCAACCTCAAGAAGCTTCTAATTTGCTGGTGGCAGAGAAGGCAGTGGTGCATGTTGTGTTTGTGAACAGACATAGGATATACAGATAGAGAGTGTAGGGGTGATTGGAACTGAAGTAATCAGAAACTGCCGTCATTAAAATTTTAGGATGGGGGGTTGAGGCAAGTGGATGTCTGGGGAAAACGTTCCAGGTAAAGGCAGCAGAGAAAACAGCAAGAGCAAAGGATTTGAGCAGGCAGGAGTAAGGCTGATGAGTCAGGCCAGAAATAGATGAATGAGGCCTTTTATATCACATGAAAAGATATTTATATTAGAATCAGTGGGGAATGATGTGAGATTTGGGGGCAGGGAATTAAAATTGTTTGTTTGTTTGTTTGTTGTTATATTCGGTCACTTTGATCTGAGTCCAGAAGATAGATTTGATAAGAAAGAGACTAGAGGCAGAGAAAGGAGTTATGGGGCTTTCGTAATAGCCTAACCGCAAGACATTAATTACTAAGAAACATCCAAGCTGCACAAAGATTACAAAGGCAATAACTATACTTGGGATAATAAATGTCAATCGGCTGACATTACTGAAGATAAAAGTATAATACATTGCCCTTCTTTACTACTGCACACTTCATATATGAACCAGGTAGGGAACAAACATATGGAACTGAAATTCCTCAAACACACACACACACACACACACACACACACACACACACACACACCCCAGTACAAAAAGAGTTCAGTAGTAGATTGAAAGAGAAGATGCTCACAATATTCAAGATAGTGCTTAGGAGTTCAGTGGTTATGTGATTTGGAAATTTAAATCCAGTGTCAATAAATACTGTTACAGGTGCTGGTAATACCAAGCCCTCTGCAGTTTCAGATTTGCAGTATAAATGGAGGAAGAGGACAGCATTTTGACTTCAAGGTTATATTATGAGTAAATCAATCAACAAACTTAATTGTTAAAAACAAGTCAACACTCTTAGGGAAGCAAGGATAATAAATACGCATTCAGACATTTAAATCTGTAGTTTTTTTGATCTATAAAGTAATCTTAGTCTTTTTTTCAGACTTTGAAAAGTAGTTTTATCTATTGAAATTATAACATGTAGTACAAATGGAAATAGTTGGGATCGTGACTTTTATTTCCTCCATAAATGCTCATATCACCAATTGTAATATCTTAATTTTATTTTTTTATTTTTTTATTTCTTAAAAATTTTTAATGTTTATTTGTTTTTTTGAGACAGAGAGAGACAGAGCATGAACGGGGGAGGGTCAGAGAGAGAGGGAGACACAGAATCTGAAACAGGCTCCAGGCTCCGAGCTGTCATCACAGAGCCCCACGCAGGGCTCGAATTCACAGACCGTGACATCATGACCTGAGCCGAAGTCAGATGCTCAACCGACTGAGCCACCCAGGAGCCCCAGTAATATCTTAATTTTAATGTAACATACCTAATAAGAGTTTATTTGCCAGGCATGTAAGCAATCTATAACAATTTACTCAAATTTTAAAATAAAAACTTACAGTTTATACGTATACATGTAAATATACATATAGTTTATGTACAACTATTGTTTCTCTTTTTCAGATGAGACATTAAAGCAACCTGCCCAAGGCTTAGTAATTCAACTAATATCTGTAGAGGCTATTATGTACCAGGCACCATGATAGGTTCTGTGGGTATGATAGTGAACCTCATCATGTGTCAGTCTGTTTGCTTAGACCAGAGATCCCCAACTAGTACATAGTGTCCACAGTTAGCTTTAAAACTCTTAAGCTCTGGCCAGAATTACCTTCACTGTAGATTCTATCCTTCTTCCCCCAAACCAAACAATAGCTCTATGTATTGTCAAACTGGGCAAAAATGTAAAACTCTCCCCTTACCAGGTGTTTTGTTCCATTATTTTAATGGCGATGGTATAGACCTCCGGGAATCTAGCTGTTGTGTATATTCTCCACTTGATCATATGAGTATATGATGGATCATATCTGGTAAAGAACTGTGATACTGTGACTGAACAAAGATGCATCAAGTTGTGGGTTTTGGTGCACAGAGGACTGAATATACATCAGAGTTTTAAATTCCTTGTAGGCTTTTCAAACTAGAACAACTCCTTGTATCTCCACCCACTAGATTTTAACATGAAAATATCTCCATAATTCTTGTTTTCTCTTGTGTTCTAGTCCTCTCTTCAGGGTTTGCTTCCATACTGGACATCCTATAATGGGAAACTAACCAATCATGGAATGAGGGCAAAAGTTGCTGGATGAATAGAATGTTTGTGCTAAGACAGCCCAATCTTCAGTTTCCACAGTAGAAATGATATTGCTGCAGGAACCAAATTCCAGGACACCTTGATTAAGTTTTCCCCACTAAATAGCACTTGGATGAGTCTAATTAGCATTTGTTTTTGAGCTTCTTTATCTCTGTTTTTATGGCCAACTAAGTAAGCTATCTGTCTGATAATTTCTTTTTTATTTTTATTTTTTTCAAGTTTATTTATTTAAAGAGAGAGAGAGGGAACAAGCAGGGTGGGAACAGAGAGAGGGGAGAGAGGGAATCCTAAGCAGACTCCACTCCATTAGTGCAGAGCCTAATGCAGGGCTCAGTCTCACGAACCGTGAAATCATGACCTGAGCCAAAATGAAGAGTTGGACCCTTAATGAACTGAGCCACCCACATCTGATAATTTCTTTTTTAAAATCACTTTTATATTTTCAATTAGATTATATTCAAAAGTTACAAATCTGACAAGGTGACTTAGTATAACTGCTCAGATTCCTAGCATGGTGGTCATATATTTTACCTCAAAGAGGGTAATCTCATATTAATAGTTTTGAATAAGAAAAAACATTTCCAGGGAACCCCTTGCAATGAAAACGGTAATAAGAATGATAAAGGTATGAGTATTACCAATTTATGGACTCCTAGGGGAATATAAACTCCCCAGGAAAAGGGAAAAACAG